AACTGTGTAAATCAAACTTATTATTGGAGAAAACTTGTCACTGAATTCAAATATGCTATCGAAAATAAAGAAAAGTAAGTCATTAGAGGTAAAAAGTGCAAATCTCTAAAAATGTCATGAAAAAACGAGATTTAGCGAGATTTTAAAGCTATTTGGAAACTCCTCTATTGGCAATCGAGATAAAAACGCGCATTACTGGGCATTACATGCTTTTTTAGATTTGTGCATTGTTTTTAAAAATATGGGCCAAATTTTTCTCCACACCTACCGAGAATTGGGCCCAAATTCGAAACCAATTTTTGTTAATTTGACCTAAGATTAAATAGTAAGGTCCTAATAAAACCAAGTGATGTCCAAAAGGCCCACCAATGAGGCCCTTCGAAATTACCCGATATGGCCCCCTGGATCCGCTATTGAAGGGTATGTTAAACAAAACACAAAGGGCGATCCTGACAATCCACAAGGGAAGTTGCACAAAAATGTCCGAATTGACGCGGAGAAAACAATCTGGCCCAAATTTTTCTCAATTGCCCAGTTTATGTAGGGAAGACGCACATTTTTTGGGAGATATCAGGGGGTCGCCTCTTGCTATGGGCCTGTACTAGGTACATTACCTTAAAACATACAAGACCGCAAACTATCAATCAAATGTTTATCTTCAAAAAAATAATGTAGAGTGTGTGCGGTTTGTGTTGCCGGGTCGGCTTGGGGTGTAATACCAACTAATATACCTTTAAAATACAACCCTAGACGGAAAAAACAAGGCCAACCAAACGGCATACAACACACCATAGACTGAGCAACTAACGTTCCGACAAACAAGAATACAAATTAAAAGACAATTAGACAAATCTTCGAACTGATAAACAAACCGGAAGCGTGTTTTCTTACGTCCACACCATATAGCTAAGATGAGATCGAGAAAGAGATCATTCACATATAAAAAACCAACACAAACACAAAATAATCAGCATGAATATTAAGACATAGAAACCACACTTAGACGATATGGTGGAATGCCAATCCTCCAAAATAGCGTATGATTCGTACGCAGGGGACCTCGACGGCAGCCGGGCAGATCCTAATGGCGATAGCAAAACCATACCATACTTCTAGAAATATGGTATCGAAAATTGTAATCAACTTTGAAAATTAAATTTGTTTTGAAATGTGACATCTAGTCCGGGTTGATTCCCCATAGACCCCATGTTACAAAATCCCAAAAAGTGAAATATCTTTTCTTGTATTGGACAGGTAACATTTTCCTTTACTGGACATATTTTAATGTTCATAACTATAAGCTACGTAAGGGTTATATGAAAATGGAACTACTAAAACAGATGCAATTTTAGTTAAAGGTAACTTTCTACTATACCCGCCATGTTATCTGACCACCTGACTTTTTATCTCGAGTTATGGATTTATGTGGCCTCACTGACCTATCTGAGGTTCTAAAGCTATGTCTAAGCTACATTTTGACACTAAACTCAATAGGTGCCAAACATCTACTTTTTGAAATAATTGGTCAATTGTGACACTACCCCCTCTCTCTCTGCCGAGTGCCGACAGAAATTCACAAAAATCAAGGCAAAATTAATATGCCACTTGACTCGAAATTTCCCTTCAGGATAACCCAAATAAACGCATTTTCAGAAGAAATGACATGTTGTCATTGCAAAAAGATGACAACTGTACCTACATACTAGCTTACTGACTCGTCATGATCACAATTGTGTTGGGACTACATTCATTTTTTAAACTACTTTTTTTCTATTCAGCGGAAGTGACGTATTAGGGCAGTTTGGCCTGTATGTTATTCATCAACACATAGATCAACATAGACCATCAAACTACCCCGGCCATTTCAGGGCCACCCATCTCTACCAAAAGAGAAATTGAATTAATGAATCAAACTCTTGTCTTCATGTCCAACCAACTGAATGATTGGATGAGTGATTAAAGATTAAACAAATGGCTAAATGATTGAAACTTATGTAAGAATGAACGCGCATGTTTCCAATAAAGACACACGTAACCACCTCAATAACACAACGACTCTATCCCCTTTAACAAACTCAATAGAGATATTCCTTTTATAAACCAATCAAACAACCCAGACACAAAACACAAACCATAACATGAAACCGAAACTATATACCACGCATTCAAACAACCAAATGAGCATAAGTTTCTCCGATCACGCGCAATAAAACAAGAAAAGATATTAGAACGCGCACCGAAAAACAGCACCCGCATTCAAGTTAATATCTCAACAACAGGAATTACCCCCGTTGCAACATTACTTCAAGAAGGCGGGACTATATATTAAAAAACCAAACAACCAAACTACCCAAACACCGACTGAATAAAACAATGTTTCTCCACGAAATCAACACGCAATCCAAAAAACACGAAATATTAAGAAAAAAACATAACGGGTCAACGACTCCCAATATGAATTCCACATCTCATTAACAACATAGGCCACCAATGAAACACAAATACAAACATAATACAAACAACATGCTAAACAACAAAACAACACCAAATCAACAAAGCAACATTCTTTCAATCAAACCAACGCCAATTCCACATATCACAAAATATGAAAGAAAATCAAAACAGAAACTAGCTATGATAAACAAGTTAAAATCTCAACAAAAGGAAAAGCCACCAACACTTCATCAACCCCAAAGCGAAGCCCAGACAATGCACCAAACAACCAAACAACACTAGTAAACAGCCAACAAAACAACAGCCTTCCACTATACTAGCACAAATTCCACCGAACGCGCCAAGAAAACAAAAATATCAGACCACGTACCGAAAAACAGCAACACAATTTAAGTTCTATCTCAACAACAAGACAAGCTCACAACACTATTCAAACGACAACACAAAATCTAAACAACATACCAAACAACCAGACACGGCTGGTACCCTACCAATAAAGCAACAGCCTTCCATTACATGAGGGCCAAACCCATCGAACGCCTATATATTAAACACAAAAATATCAGAACGCGTACCGAAAACCAGCACCCTCATTCGAGTTAACATCTCGACAACAAGAGATGCCCCTACTAGAACACTTACCACTTCATGAAGCCAAAACAAGACACTAAACCACCAAACAACCAAACAACTCAAACACTGACCTGATATAACAACATTCCCCCACAAAACCAACACTTATTTCACAAAATACGAAATATCGAGAAAACAAATTGCAAAATAGCAAAATATCACATTCCGCAATACGGAAAACAGCCCCACTTAACAAATTAATATCTCAACAAAATTAAAAGCCACTCATACAATATAAACACCAACACGTAGCCCAAACAATGTACCAACCAACTAAATAACCAAACAACGCTCGTACCCAACCAATAAAGCAACATCCTTCAATCACATCAGCGCCAATCCCACCGAACGCGCATAGTAAAAACAAAAATATCAGAACACGTACGAAAAACAGCACTCTCTTTCAGTAAACATCTCGACAAG